GGCACATAATACACACGTAATAAGTATCATTAAATCAACCCATAAAAGTCAAAATACGAGAGAAAGGCAACTATGTGAAAAGGGTATTGTTCCTTTAATACAAGAGAGATCCACCAAAATCCAAGTAGGGAAGAGTAAGAACAGACTCAGTGAAAAAAATGAAGGAACCTAACAGTTTATTCGGAATGGCAAAGGAATGAATGCTCAAAGATAAACATTCAGTATTATGCAAAGAAAATTCAGGTTAGATCTTTTATGACTGAAGAAGAGATTTTGCCTCCAAAGAAAAATCTGATCTTTACCAAGTTCAAAGTAGTTATATTATAAAATTTCAACAGCTTTCAATAAACTGTTATGAAAATAAACAGAAAAAAGGGTCAAGTTTATCAGATTACAAGGGGGGAAAATAAAATCTGTTAGTTGGGTAGGGCCTTTTTCAAAATGCTCTTTTAGAAGTCTCGGGCTCCAATAACACCTGGCTATCCTAATTCTGAAAGCCTTGATTGCTTTACTTTAGCTTTTCCTCTTTGTTCAACCATCAGCTTCCATCTTTGGTTCTTTCCAGGGTATCTCTATCATTACACCAGTTTCAATCTGTACCTTTGTGCAAATAATTTTCAAGTCATCCCTTTCAAACACAACAAGGTTGAACTTATCTACAGATCTATTTTTCCCAAGCAATTTCTAAACCTGTCGGGGTTGTCACCATCTTTCTATAATCCAGGCTTAACATTTTTAGAATCATCTGACTATTTTGGTTTCCCCTTCTCTTTCTCAACTCTGCTAATTAAGTTCCATGTCCCAATTTGGGGTTCTGGACTATTACTACCTAAAAATTCTCCTATCTCACCCTTTTTCCACCCTAACCCACTGTGTACAAAACTACCAGTCTCACCTTTCATTCATCCTGTCACAGTCCTAAACTCCTTGCTTAGCACTCAAATCCTCCACTATCTAACCCAATCCCTCTAAGTCAGTCATGTCTTCACCTTCTACGTTATTCTCTGCTCTCTCTGAAAACCTTCTATCCTGACCACCCATCCATTCCATCCAACCATCATAAATGCGTACTTTGGCTCTCTCTCAACTCAGTAATTTCTTCTCTTCAATTTACATACACACAAACACACACACACACACACACACACACACACAAATTTACCCCCTAAACAAGCATTTGGAAGTTATGACATACTTTTTCAACTTATTAAATGTTTTTCTTTGTTTCTGGGTACATATGTGAGATTATCTTGTTTTCCTAAATACTGTATGTAGGTTGGACTCTCAGAATCATGACTTCTATTTCCTTGTATTTTCCACATCTCAATGTCTGTGAAAGTCCCATCCAAAAAAATCTATAGCAAGAGGTTACAAGACAACTAATAAATTAAAAAACCAAAAAATTACTAAAGCCTCCGTAAAACATCACATTATGAAATAATGGAATCAAAAAGCAAAGTAGAAGTTAAGGGTGTAGTTCAGTGGCACACTGCCTGACCTAGCATGTACAAGGCTTTGGATTCAATTCTCAGGACCTCAAAAAGAAAACAAAAACACAAGTGATATGCAAATGGACACTAAAAGATGAAATAGATGTAGAAGACATTAACGACATGTTCTAATTCCTTCCATTTCTCTCACTGTACAAAATGTTTTCAAATAAGCATTAACCTTCTTTACTATTTCTCAATATGAAGAGCATCCATAACATGGGTGAGACATTTCAAACACACTATCTACAATAATTTTGAAAGCTTTGGGGAGAAACCTTATACACTGCAACCACACACTGGTATTCATAATAACTGAAATCTATGTTAATTTATAAATAACCTACAAAATTTTACTGATTCAAAATGACTTGTTAAAATGGTATTTCTCTGAATGACATTAATTCTATGTCTTTAATCTTAATACCCCAAACTGCATATCTAACCTTAATTCTCTGAGGCTGTTACAAAATCATATCCATGCTTCCTTAAACTTTATTTTAAAGATTATGTGGTTTTGTAGAGATTTGCAGAGATCTTAGAGATTATGTAATTGTTAGTAGAGGGAAAACTCGCTTACAGAGTTGGCAACTATTAGTATGGGGGGACAAACTCCTAATATTTACAGATAGTTGTATATGCTACTAACCAGTTGTAGTGAACATGTAAAACATAGGACTTTGTGACCCCACAAAAAGTAGAATTAAGCAAAAGGTTTTGTAGAGATTTGCAGAGATCTTAGAGATTATGTAATTGTTAGTAGAGGGAAAACTCGCTTACAGAGTTGGCAACTATTAGTATGGGGGGACAAACTCCTAATATTTACAGATAGTTGTATATGCTACTAACCAGTTGTAGTGAACATGTAAAACATAGGACTTTGTGACCCCACAAAAAGTAGAATTAAGCAAAATAAAAATAGAGTGAAACTGAGTGAAGCTTGACAGCTGACAGCTTGACAGCTGACAGCCTGGGAGCTGAGTGTTAGGACAGATAAGAGTTTGCTGTGACATACGACTAAGAGTCTGAAGTGAGGTAATGGAGAGTGTCAAGGCGTTAACTCAGATAAGGCTTAACACCTCCCGCCTTACGACCACCTTGAGTACATGGCCTGAACGATAAGGAGCGGTCAGGGTATAAAAGCAGCGAACCCAAGACCAGTCGTCGTCGTCCACCGCGACCCGACCTGACTGTCACACGTCGCTGCTCCTCGCGACTTGACTGATTGCTGCCGGAGGCTCTGCCAGAATCCAGACCGAACATCACGTCGCAGCTCGAACCTCTGCTCGACAGCCTCGCACTCTGTGCCACGGACTCAGGTCGTATAGTCCTGTTACACTGGCGATCGGGAGAGTATTCTAGTCCATATGCTATGGTCCTGTTACATCGTGTGGACTGGAATGTTCCTTTGATTGTTGTTCATTCTCTTGAGTGCTATTGTGGTATTTTGCCTTAATATTACTTTGCTTTTGCTTTGATATTACTTTGCTTGTGTGACAATAAAATTCCTTAAAAGACATATCACTTGTAGCTTTCATTACCTCGGAGCTAGGGAGACATTTCAGAGCTCCCAGCTTGGGATCCGATTCTCAAATCGATGCTCGCGACACCAGTTAACGATTTTTATAATAAGACTTTGGCTTTTCACCTCATAAGAACTTTTTCAGAATGTTTTAAAAGTAACAATGTTAAGCACAGCACCTCCAAAAAAGACAGCTATAACATCTGTGCGGTACTTTTGCAACCAGCAATACTACAAAAAAAAAGGTTAACACTGTGATGACCTATGATCAAAGTTATCTTGAATGTTTTTACTTCAGCAAAAAGTTCATTAGACTCAGACATCTACGACATTAGCTCAAAAAAAAAAAGAAAAAAGAAAAACTACTGTACTGATTCTCCATCGCTACTTCCAAATCAAAAAACTAAACTCTTAGGAGCTAAATCTCTGTAAATGAAAAGCAGTCTTTCCAAGACTACGGCCAAACTGATCGAAATTGATATTACCTACAAAGAAAAAAACATATCACCTACTAAGACTGCCATTCAACAAACTACATGCGTGGTAGTAACTCTGACGCGATGACTTTTGATATGACGCCTGCAACAGCAGTTTCTAAGTACAGCGTGAACTGAGTCAGAACTAAAAGTTCAGAGAGTGGTTAGTACAGGGCCAGTCAAATGGTAAAAAGAGCCACCCCGTGCGATTTTCCTGAACTCCAAAATGCTTCGGGAAACAGAACCTGGTGTCTTCCACAACGACCGTGAGCACCTGAGACCTGCTCCTTAGCAGTTAACTAGATTGAAAACAAGAGGAAGGCAAAAAACACGCGGAACCCCAGGCAGCGCAAAAGGGAACCGTGCCACTCACCAGCAAACAATCCGAATTCACTTCCGATTTGGGATCCCGCAGCAGGTTGTCGATTTTCTCAAACCGACTCTCAAAACTGTCCCCAGTCGACATGTTGCTGCTTCTGCGACAATACCGTCGTACCAGCGGAAAGCAATTTCAACCAACTTCCTCAGCGGTGGCTTTGCAGCCGCGGGGCGGAGGAGCCGGAACCTCAGGGTCACCAGGTGCGCCCGGTCCCCTCGTCTTTCCCGTCACAAAGGGGACCTCGGCGCTTCGGACCCCGGCCTGGGGGCGACAGCGACCCACAGTCGCCCGGACGCCCAAAGTCGCATCCCACCCGGTAGCCCCTCACGACAGCCGACAGTGCCGTGGCCTGCAACCTGGTCGCTCCAGCCTAGCGGGACCCGGCCGCCCTC